ATACCATGGTGAGTAACGATTGGTAGATGCACGCCTTCCCCCGTTTTCCCCCCAAAATCACAGTGAATCATTTTTCTAGCCCAGGTTGGCATATGGAGATAGAGAGGTCTGCAGCCAGTGGGGAGGAGTTCAGCCACGAGTGGCCATGAAGTTCAGAGGAGAACCTGAAAGAGGGCTAAGGCTGTGCAATAGGACAAGAAGAGGTCCCAGATGTAAAGAGATACCCTAACATTATGGAAGGAGGCAGGAAGGGGTGGCAGCTCTATTGCTCACTCTCAATTTTGGCTAACAAGACTCAGGGTGGGCTGAAGACAAGGTCAGGACCTATGGGTGGCATGACAAGGTGAGGAGCAGTCAAGAATCCTCATTTGATCCTTCCAGCTCAGCTACCAATTGCTGTCCTGTTTCTCTTCTGCCCTTTGTAGCCAAATTCCTTGAAAAGGCCATCTACAATGGGTGCTTCCACTTTCTTTCCTCTCACTCTCTTCTTAACCCCTTATGATCAGCTTCTAGTCTTGTCTTTCCACTGAAACTGTTCTCTCCACAGTTCCAGCTTTTGACACTGCTGATCACTCTCTCCTCTCCGATACTCTCTCCTCTCCAGGTTTTCAGGACACCACTCTCCTGGTTCTCATCCTCCCTATCTGGCCTATTCTCAGTTTCATTTTCTGGATCTTCATCCAGATGACACCCTCTAACCAGGAGGATAACCACAGGGTTCTGTCCTGCTCTCTTCTCTTCTGCCTCTTTACTACTTATCTTGGTAATCTCAGCTTCCATGAATTTAACATTGCTTCTATGCCAATGATTCCCAAATCTACCTTATTCTGCCCCAAACTGTCTGCTGACCTCCAATCTTGCATGTCAAACTTCCTTTCGGACATCTAGAATTGGATGTCCAGTAGACATCTTAAATTCATTATGTTTAAAACAGAACTCATTACCTTTCACCCTAAAACTCTTCTCCTCAAGTTCCCCATTACTATAGAGGGCAATACCACTCTCCCAGATTCTCAGGCTCACTACCTAAGAGCCATCCTCAATTCTTCACTATCTCTCACCAGCCATGTCTCACCTGTTGCTAGAGCCTGTCAATCTCATTTTTTCCCCCACATCTGCCCAATACACCCCCTTCTCTCCTCTGACACTGCCCCCACCCTGGTACAGGCCTTCATCACCTCATGCCTAGACTATTATAATAGCTGCCAGTGGGCCTGCCTGCCCCAGGTCTCTCCCCACTCCAGTCTATCCTCTATTTAGTCACTAAAGTAATTGTTCGTGTCCCTACAACCCCTTGCCAATCAATAAACTTGAATGACTTCTTATTACCTCCTGAATCAAATACAAAATAGCGTATTTGGCATTCAAAGCCCTTCACAACCTGGTCTCTCCTACCTTTCCAATCTTTCTGATCCAGGGACACTGGCCTCCTGGCTGTTCTACAAACAAGATCCTCCATCTTTGGTTCTGGGAATTCTCTCTGACTGTCCCCCACGCCTGGAACATTCTCACTCCTCTGCTTTAACTACTCACTTCCCTGGCTTCCTTTAAGTTCCAACTAAAATCCCACTTTCTATAGGAAGCCTACCTTTAATCCTAGTGTTAATTATTTCCTGTTTATCCTGTGTATAGGTTGCTTTGTATTTATTTGTTTGTATGTTGTTAGATTATAAATTCCTTGAGGGCAAGGACTGTCTTTGTATCTTTTCTTAGCACAGAGCCTAGCACAGAGTAGGTACTTAACAGCAGTTTAGTTACTGATTATCTCTGACCGCAGAAGTAGACAAGCCCAGTATGGAACTTCCTGTAGAATAAGGAGGAGAGGAATTCCCAGACCAAAGGCGAGCCTACAGTTCTATCACTGTGAACCTGCAGAGTTTTTTCACCTGGCTGACAGAGGGTGAGTCCAGAGGGACCCAAACCTGGGGCAAGACCATACTTGTGTTACCAAGAGAACTCATGCCCGGGAACAGCAATCAGACTACTTTGAGAGCACTAAGAACTTACAGATTCCCTCCCTGAGCTGTCCCTGAGATCCTAGAATAACATAACACCTGGTACCCTAAGAAAGCAGAGGACCCTAAAGGACCCAAGCTTGGTCCAAATACGCTTACCAGAAGGCTTCCACACTAAGCTACCAGACCTTCAAATCTCCGATTCTAAAATAGCTCACCAGCTTTGTCCAAGTCCAACAGGGTAGTATAGAGCTTGGATTTATTTAGTCAATAAAGGTATTCAGATCTTGATCATACCTCTGATTAACTGAATCAATATGTGTTCTCACCTGATAAAGGTTTTAGTGCCAAGGGTAGGGAGGTGTGGTGATTGGCCAGATTGGCTGAATTGATCCTCCACCCTTATACACCCATAACACAGAATTTGTTCATGCCTGGAGACAGATGGCCAGAATTCCTATTCTCAGGGATTCCCAATCCCAGGGATTTCCATGGTAATGGAAACTAGTCAGTCATTCAGGTATTACATTGTCATTCTTGTTTTATTGATGAAAAGAATAGCTTGTGAGGATGTCTCAGACATCCCTCTTCTTCTCACTAATAAAACTATTTCCTATTATAAAAACATTTCCTCACCACCTCACCCCCTGGACTGCTGCAGTAGCCTACTGGTGTGTCTGCCTGCCACAAGTCTGTCTCCATTCCAATCCATCCTCCATTCAGCTGCCAAGGTCATTGTGTTAAAATGGCATCTTCTTCTGTTCCCCTTACTATCCCCTCTCTTCTAGTTAGTATAGTACATTTATAAGTAGCTAGGACTTCCTGAGATCAAATCTAGCTTCAGACACTAACTGTGTGACCATGGGAAAATCACTTAACCCCTTTTGCCTCAGTTTTCTCATCTGTAAAGTGAGCTGGAGAAGGAAACAACAAATCACTCTGGCATCTTTGTAAAAAAAAACCCTATAAATGGGACCCCATTTGAAGAGTAAGACCACCATTTAAAACAACTGAACAACATTATACAAGTTAAAAATAGTAAGAAGTAGGATTGCAAAGGGAAACCTGAAGTCATATGCAGATCCCATAGATCAAGAGAGCATACTAGTTACTTGAAAACTGTCTCATAAATTAACTAAAACCACATCCTGACACTATGTGCTAAATCTAGGGAAGCCAGCGAGGTCTTGCTGTAAGGGACGCTTGGTCCTGTCAACTTTCCTGGTCTATAAGTCCCAGAAAAGCTCCAGATATCTGCAGTAAGACCAGCAGGACAAGAGGTATTGCTGATAACTTTGAGATGATGTGGATATGCTAACGAGCTAACCATAAGGTAGCACAGATAAGAGTCTGTCTCTCACCAAAATCCTATAAAATGAGACCCCAAATGTCTGCCCTCTGAGCACTCCTCCACCCACTCTGGGGTTACGCTGCCTGAATGCTCCCAACTTCAAGCCATGGTTACGTGACTCTCTGTTCTCATTCTCTTCCCCATGATGCCTGCCTCCCTCCTTCCACCTCTCCAACCTCCGTGCTCATGCCATCTGCCTCTGCACCACTGCACTGTTTCCCTTTGTTTCTCTCTGCACCTTATTAAAATATAATTAGAGCATTACTCCCCACTTGTTGCCATCAGGGTCTTTCCTGCTGAGTATTCAAAGAAGAGGGTATGCTTGCCCTCCAGTAGACCCAGAGAGACCCCACTGTGGTTCCCTTAATCACAATTAATAATTTCATAAATTAATTAATAATTCAGCGATCTTTGGTCTAACCATGTTATCTTCCCCCAGTAAATGTTTCTTATTGTCTCCAGGATCAAATATAAAATCTTCTGTTTGGCATTCAAAGTCCTTTACAATCTGCCTCCCTGCTGTCTTTTCACATGTTATTCCCCCCCACCCCATTGTACTCTTCAATCCAGGGACAATGGCCTTCTCACTGTTCTTGGAATAAGATACTGCATCTCTCAACTTCAGGTACTTTCTCTGGAATCTCTCCATCCCTTTCTTCACCTCCTGGCTTCCTTGGGTTCCTTGAGGCACTGGCTAAAATTGTACCTTCCCTCTTAATTCTAGTGTCTTCCATCTGTTGGTTATTTCCAATTGATCCTGTCTATAGCTTGTTTGTACACAGTTGTTTGCATGTCATCTTCCCTTTTAGACTATGAGCTCCTTGAGGGCAGGGGCTGTCTTTTACCTTTCTTTGTATTCCTTGTGCTTGGCACAAGACCTGACGTATACCAGGAACTTTATGTTTCCTGCTTCCCTGACTGACCATCTATCTCCACAAAATGTATTACTCTTTCTTTCTTATTGCATTTCAAAGTTCTTGTGTCCTCTTCTTTTTTCTATGTAGCAGTAATTAAACCCAAGTTGTACATTTACTAGAAGGCAGCTGTTGTTGCTTTTTTTTTTTCATAAAAAGCAAGACGTTTGCTGAGCAGGATTTTTTTAAAAAAAGATTCAGATAAAATAAAGCAGTCACACCCTAAAGGACTGGTCTCAATAGGTCTTACAATCACAGAAAGGGCAGGAACTGGCTAGCCTCGTATTGTATGCCTAAAGGCATAAAAAGCCTTTTCTCTGCCTCTGCAATATTACAGCTTCCTGAGCTAAAGGTCAGTAAAAGTGAGACATCCCAAGGCTCGCTTGATGCCTGGATATCCAGCGCAAAACATGCTAAAAACCACTCTCTTTTTTTGTCAAACTAATCCTCACATGGGAGGATCCTGCAAGTGTTAAGAGGCACCATGCATGGAGGCTGCCTCCAGTCTGTGGCCAAAGGCTAGCAGCAGGGCATTTACATATTACACAAAAATGCTATTGAAGTTAATGATTTCACTGTATGATAATTACATATTAAATCTGAGAAATGAACATATGCTCCCTCATTAATGGCAAACCTACAAAAAATAATGCGAATCAAGCATAAGTATTTTTCCACTTAAAATGAATAGAATGGGAATCTCTTCCCTTCTCTAGCACATAATATATCCCAATCGTTTGGAACATAAGAAATAAAAATAAGAAATGACAGATAACTCACCTCAAATCTGTGGGCCTTGGAAGCAGTTTTCTATTCCCAGTGAAGTAGACTTCGAAATCTTCCATCTTAAGCCTGTGGGCATAGTCAATGTAGCCAGACAGCTCCTGACCATGAGCATTTCGGTCACGAATGAAGATTATAGACTAAAAAAGAACATAAAAGTGGAGAAAATAAATCATTACAAACAATACCCTATTCCATTTGAACAAACGTTCAATGTATTTATTTCTTTCAATCAGAACTGAGATAGGTCTGTAATGAAACAGCATGGCTATCCCCACTTTAGATGCAGATGGTACCAACTTCAATGTGCCTTTTCATTCTTTTCCACATACAATTCAATTTGATAAACATTTCGTTAGCCCTGTAACATAAAAAAAAAAACCTCTTCCCTCCATATGTTCAAATATTTCAAAGGTAAATACAATAAAATCTGAAGAGACTATTGGGATTCTAAGAGGATGAGGTGAGATTCCTTATCTGGAGAATCAGTCTATGCTAACGCACAGAAAAGGGATGAAATTATCAAGCTTTCAAGTTAAGTCAAGTGAACAAGATTTGAGGAAATAATCTGTGCGAGGCACTGTGTTAAGCCAAGAGAATATAAATACAAGTAGAAAGACAGTTCCTGCTCTCAAGGAGTTTACCTTCAATTGTGAGAAGACAACACATAAAAGGAAGAAAGGGAGCTATAAAGGGGGGAGGATGTGGGGATGAAGGTACAGAGATGTGTGGGGCATGGTAGAGAAGGTTCAGAGAGTCAGGAACACAGCCCAGGAAGGAAAAAAGATATGGGTGGTCTGAGCCTCCTATAAATGGAGGTTCTGGGAGGAGCCAGCTGGTCAGAGGAAGAGACTGTAGAGCTGTGAGAAGGTTATTTCCAATGGGGGAAGTCAGCTAGGAGTGGAAGGGGGATTTTAGGGTGAAGAAATTTTTTTACTTTGTGAATGCAAAGATGTATTTTTCATATGCTTTGAAAAACAATGAAAAATTACCAATGTGATTAATATATTTATAAAGAGAGAATACCAAAAAGCCCATGTTTTTTTCAACTGGATCTGTGACTGCAGGCAGCTCTCCATGAAAGACTCCCTTACTAATGCTGATTGACACCTATTTTGGAATTTATAGTTAAGTGACTAGTTGAAGAGGTTTCTATGGCATGACAGACAAAATTCTGTGGAGGTGAGTGAGGACTACAGCTTGGAAAGGAATGAAATTTAGGGAACAATTAGTAGATCACTTTGTACAACAGATTACTTAGAGCAAGGTGATATACGCAAGTCTGGAAAGGTTGGAAGTAGGGAAATTGGAGAAAGGCAGAGAGCTTGGCATTCTACCTCAGAGGCAATAGAGAGCCCCTGAATACTGGAACAGAAGAATACCTGATGAGTTTAGATATATTAATCTGACAACTGTGTATAGGGTGGTTTGGAGAGTAGAAGTTATTGCAATAGTTCAGGCAAGAGGTGAGGAGGGTGTAATTTCCCCCAGATAAGACACAGTGTGTATGTAAAGAGTGTGGCCAAATTCTATGTACACTGGCAGTGAGGCACATGTGTATATATATGTATATGTATATACGTGGGGCAAAGGGTAATTCATATAGCTCCTCGTCCTCTAAAACATGAGAGTACTTTCACAGACTTCCTAGAGTTGTCCCCTTGGGTACAGCTCTGATGGGTGGGTCATTCCTCTGGGCTCCTATGATCTCACTCTGCCTTGAGTTCATAGCTGGTACTCCTCTGACACCATTAGGGGCCACTCTCTCTGAAGCTGCCACTTTTGCTTCTCTGTATTTTTCTGTCCTTGATACGTCTTTCTGCTCTATGATGGATGTGTTGACCCACTGGTCCAGTCTGACACCATCAATGGGGTGGGAGAGAAAATCTCTCTCTCATCCTATCCCCCCCCAGACACTTCCTCTGAAGGGGACTGATTCAACCTCTTCTAGCTCCATCTCTCAAACTGAAATTCTGCAGCTTTTTCAAGCCCCCTAGCATGGCCAGACTGCCAGTAGAGTCAATCACATAGCTCAGATGCAAAAGCACATCACTGTAGTTAGCACCTTGTCATTGCATTCTTGGTCTTCAGAAGCTGGATCTTTATTCCGGTAACCATGGCTATCTCCCAGGGCTTTGTTCTGGGCTCTGTTCTTTTCTGCCTGCCATAAGTCTCTCCCCACTCCAGTCCATTCTCCAAACAGCTGTCAAAGTGATCTCCTTAAAGCACAGGTCCAACCAAGTTACCTCCTACTTCACCAACTCTAGTGGCTCCCTATCACTTCCAGGATCAAAAAGAAAACCCTCTGTTTGGCATTCAAAGGCCTTTGGAGTCTGTCCCCTTGCTCACCTTCCTAATATCTTTACCCTGTACCTCCCTCTTCTCCCCACTTCAGTCCAGTGACACTGGCCTTTCTGCCATTCCTCAAACAAGGAACTCCATTTTTAGTGGTTTTCCCTCCTCGTCTCTGCTTCCTTTGCTTGTCTGGCTTCCTTCATGTCCTAGCTAAAACCTCATCTTCTGTAGGAAGTCTTTCTAGATTCCCCTTAATTCCAATGCTTTTACTCTGTTGATTATATATTTCCAATTAATCCTGTAAATGGCTTATTGGTTCATAGTTATTTGTCTCTTGTCTCCCCTGTTAGACTGGGAGCTTCTCAGGGCAGGGGCTATCTTTATCATTATCTGTATCCCCAGAGCTTAGCACCGGGCCTGGCATTTATTGCATGTTTTATTGAGTGACTATGTCTCAGAAGGATGAGTCAATGTGCCTCTGGGATGAGGGCAGCAGGTGATGGGCTGGCTCCTTACAAGCAGTTTTTTTTAAAGAATTGGCTATTTTGAAAAATGTCACGAACACACACTTCAAAGAGTTTTCATTTTCACTTTTGCTACCTATAAATTCAGGTACTTTGTTTTCTTTCCACATTTAATATATGAGATACTAATGCAATATCCCAATTTTATTTTTATCTTAACTAGCACCCTACTTCATCTCCAGAGCCTGAGAGTAAGAAAGGAGTCATTTACAGAGGTTTCCAAACAATGAAATCTGCAGCTTAATTTTACATAAATCAGCAACTTCAGGATATGATCTAGTCTCTGGAATAATTAGGAAGTTTAACATACTAGATATACTTGTCACAATTCACTCCCAACACTGTATATCCCTGCTGTGGGACAAAGCAGAGTTTTCCTCAGAGGTAAGACTATAACACTGAGAGACGGGCCATGAATATGCAGATTTTGCAGGGATAGTATAACAGACTCTAGCAAGCATGTAAAACTCCCTCCATCTGGCTCTCTACAGAGCTTAAAGTGGTGCCAACAGAATTGCCACCCCTTCTCACCTCCAACCGACGTCCCAAATTCTTGATGATTTCAGCAATATCCTTATGGCCTTTTTTGTTTATTTGCTTTAATGCTATTTATGTCTTTTGTCAAGACACATAAAGTCATGTTTCTTTTAAAAATATTTTATTATTATTATTATAATTGTTTCTTAAAACACAAGATAAAATACAAATGTTGGCCTGGACAAGGAGGTTTAAATCACAGACAGAAAGACTGAACACTCTCATGTCACATGAGGAACACTGGACATATCTTTTATTTTGGCTTCTGCTGGCCTCAGCTGGCAGGCTGCATTGTCACTGGACAGTAGTTGCTGGCTGAGGCCTCTGACGCTATAGTTGGACTGGGCTGGTGGTATCTGTTGGACAAGGCTCATTGGCCTGCGCTTTTCGACCCTCAGTCATGGACTTGGCAGGCAGGTGCTGAGCTCTCTCTCTTCAGCTGGAGTATTATTTGACCTTTTCAGCGCAGTCCAATGCAGCTCTTTAAGCAAGGCTACACCTCTTCCTGTTGACTCCCTCAAAGCTGCAGGCATCTCTTCAACAAATCTTCCCTGGCTCAACAGCCCCTGCTCTCAGGAAGTTGCTCCATTTTGCCTTATGGGGATTTATTTCAATTCAGTCTCTACTCTCATATTCCTTTGGGAATTTTCTGTAGATGAGTGGATAGCAGCAGAATTACGAATGCAGTTTCTATTCTGGAAGCAAATCCATACCTCTGACTTCATTACAGGCTGTTGAACTAGTGTCTCACCTCTTCTAAGAACAGGAATGTTTACTTTGCATCTGAAGGTTTTCACTTTATATTCTTACTGAGATACCTTAAGGATAAACTGAGGACCAAGTCTTTCATAATTAGGAAGTTGAAAAAAATTAAAAGATAAATTATGGGTATACAATTCTAGGAAAGAGAGGGAGAAAATTAGGTTAATGAAGATATACTAGGATGTGGCAACTGAGTTATGATTGGCACATTCTAGTAGCAGGTAATGCAAGCTGAACAGGTATTTTGCATTGTTCTACCCAGAGAGTAAGTACATTTTCCTATAGGGTCAAACATTTCTCCTAGCTAGCGGCTTCTTTCCCTCCGCCCAGGTTAGCAATACCTAAGTGTACCTAATGGGCTTTACAGTAACATCAAGATCTTTAGATGCACATAAATAAGACAGGTCCAGAGTCTTGATTCTAGCTAGGGGCATCAGTAACATTGGAGAGAGCAGTTTCAGTAGAAATGTAGCTTCAGCAGACACCTTTCAAGGTGCTGGGAAGTGAGTAGTGAGAAAATGAAGACAAGGTGCATACATAGCCAACTCTCTGAATCTTGTTGTAAAAGGGAGAAGAGATACAGTGTGAGAGCTTGAGGTGACAGCAGGGTGAAGTAAGAGCTAATGAAGGATGAGGGATGCCTAGGCATATTGGCAGGTGGCAGAGAAAGAAATAATGGCCCTGAAGAGAGATCAAAGGAGAGCAAGAGCGAGAATGAGAGACTGGATAATACCCTTGAGGTGACAGTATGGTAGAGGATCAAAGACACAGAGCAAGAAGCTAGTCTTGGCAAGGAGAAGGACAACTTCTTATTCAGACTAGAGCAGTGGAAGAGAGATTGATGGAGGATGGTATAAAAGAGTTTTGAGTAGGGAGAGGGGAGAAAAAGGAACACGAAATGTATTTTCTTAACTCTCTCAGCAAAGTCGTAGGGGAGGTTCTGTACTGAGAGGGAGAAGGAGAATGGTGAAGCACAAAATAGTTGCTCTGGTATGAAAGAGTCAATCAGTGAAACAGTAAAA